TATTAGGAAAGAGTTTCAGATATATTAGAAAAGAAAGAATAGAGACAGTGAAGAATGTTCAGAACACCAGCAATCTGTTTTCTTTTTTCTTAAAACAAGTGATTATGGCATTAGAATAAATTAAAATTTACAATGATAAATGGGGAGAGAAGGACTGTGGTCATTATACATAAAAGTAAACAAGAAATATAAAATCATGTATTTGTATTACACTGTGCTGTATGAAGATACTTGATCAGCTTACATTTATTCAGGAGAATGATAGTTAGGTATAATGTTGTAAGGTTCATGGCAAATTATGTATATGTATTTGAAATAATAATTTCATGTTCATTTGGAAAAAAAAAAAAAAAAAAAAAAAAAAATGTTATATATATATATATATATATATATATATATATATATGTATGTATGTATGTATATGTATATATAGATTGATTAATTGACTGACTGACTGTAGTGGGAGAAAAGTAACTTACTAGGGTAAGGATAACAATAATTTTCCGTTTTCAGCAAAGTTGCAGGATCCAGCATAGCCGTGAGGTTAAAATGGAGATTTCTGATGCCCAGAGAGTGTTTCAGACATCTCAGTACAAGAGTGCAATTAGCCGGGGTCCCATCATTGCATTATTGTGTCTTGGCAGTGGGATATCAGAAGCATGTAGCAAGGTGAGTGAGTGTTTCTCTTTACACAAATTGATTTATATCCCAGTTAACAATTGATTATGAACATAGTAAGAAAAGGGGAAAGTGAAGGGAGGGTAATAGAAACAGAAAGGAGGGATAAAGATGATTATTACCTTCACCCTTTACCCTCAGATTGGGCAGGAATTAAATGCAGACGCACAGGACCAGGTGGTGTATGTGACTTCAGACAGCAACACCAGCAACCAGCAGATCGATGCTTTCTTTTCCTATGCCTCAATGACCCTTTCCATGTAAGGCTTACAACCAGGAGCTCGTGCAATAACTCTTGAGATCTTTTTTAAGTTACAGATCTGATTATGGGATAATAACATTCCAGTTACATTCCTTATAAATTATTTCATTAAAGTATTTTATTACTTTCTTTTCTGTTTTCCAGTTTTCGTTTTCATTCTTTATTTTTAAAAATATGTAATGAGAATTTTGTACAAAGGATGGTCATCATAAGTATGCATTTTGAGTATACTGTGTACCTACAGATTTAATTTATTTGTATATTATTACAATATTTGATATTATTTCAAATGTACATTTAGTATTTACTTTGTATGAAGTATGTATTAGCAGTCATAAAGAATTCCAACCCATAGTGATGTAAATCTAGTCATTCCTGATTTAAAGACATTGCTGACTAAAAGAGATTCATATAGAGAAAAAGGTATTTAGAAAGTTTGAGTTTTCTAATGTAATTAAAAAGACACAGTTGTGATGGGTTTAAGCCTTTGGTTGTGAAACTAATTATTAGTAAAGTGAAAGCAATTATAATTAGAACAGTGGCTGTGTTGTGCGGTTGTAGTAATTGCTTTGTGTTGGAGCTTTGTTGTATTCAGGAAGTCTATTAGGAAAGAGTTTCAGATATATTAGAAAAGAAAGAATAGAGACAGTGAAGAATGTTCAGAACACCAGCAATCTGTTTTCTTTTTTCTTAAAACAAGTGATTATGGCATTAGAATAAATTAAAATTTACAATGATAAATGGGGAGAGAAGGCCTGTGGTCATTATACATAAAGTAAACCAGAAATATAAAATCATGTATTTGTATTACACTGTGCTGTATGAAGATACTTGATCAGCTTACATTTATTCAGGAGAATGATAGTTAGGAATAATGTTGTAAGGTTCATGGCAAATTATGTATATGTATTTGAAATAATAATTTCATGTTCATTTGGAAAAGAAAAAAAAAAAAATGTTTATATATATGTATATAGATATGTATGGTTATATATATATATATATATATATATCATATATATATATATATATATATATATATATATATTATATCATATATAATATATATATATATATATATATATATATATTAGAATCTCGTTTACACATTTATTATTATATTTAATCAAGCACACTGAGGTAACTGATACTGACTGTTTTAGGAAAAAGGCATCTCTTCTTGCCATAGTGAGGGTTGGCATAAATGTTTGGTAGCACCTATCGAAGCCAGGACTGGAGGCTTCTCTCTGGAACTTCACAGCTCCGATGGCACTGGCACCCAAGGAAAGGCCCTCTAGTCAGCCCTAAACACTCATATTTCTGTTTTTATTGAGAAACAATAATCAGCCTGTCCAGAATTAAAGACATGGGGGGAAAAAAAAAAAAAAATGTTTATATATATATATATTAGAATCTCGTTTACACATTTATTATTATATTTAATCAAGCACACTGAGGTAACTGATACTGACTGTTTTATGGAAAAAAGCAAATATGTGTTGAATTCTGTATACTGAATTGTTAATTTAACTGATATAACCAGATGGCATCTCTTCTTGCCATAGTGAGGGTTGGCATAAATGTTTGGTAGCACCTATCGAAGCCAGGACTGGAGGCTTCTCTCTGGAACTTCACAGCTCCGATGGCACTGGCACCCAAGGAAAGGCCCTCTAGTCAGCCCTAAACACTCATATTTCTGTTTTTATTGAGAAACAATAATCAGCCTGTCCAGAATTAAAGACATGGGGGGAAAAAAAGAACCTCCTAGCTTTTCTGATCTAGGTCTTGTGTGGGGGACCCTAATGCTAACCAAGAGTGCTACTGCTACTCCCCACTGCCATTGGTTTAATTGTATTGCAATTTATGATGTGACTGTTTTAATATGTTGGTCTTACAGGTTGGATATAGTAATATAATATTATTAATGTTGTGTAGCATTATATTTGATGTATCTGTTCCAAATGATCACTTTCAAATTGATTCATGTTGCACTAAAATACCCATTATGATATAAGAAATGTATGAATGGATGCCTACAGCACAAGAAAAAAATGAAGTATATAATTCAAATGAAAAAAAAAGAACTAAAAAGAAAATGTAGTACATTTGTTAGTGTTTTGTTTTGTGTTGAATAACTAGTCATATTAGCAGATATCTTTTATGTGTATATTGTGCAATATTGATATATAATAAGTTAATTCAGGTTTATGTACATCAGTGTAGTTCCCAAGCAGTTCAGTGTATGGTGTGATAATTGTACGCAACTAAGTGTCATGGTTAACAGCTTTGGCATTATGGTAGTAAACTGCTTAATGATTCAACCTAGCAATACCCTTGGTATTCCCTTGACACAAATAGAAGTGGTCTGATTATTATATGTGGGAAAAGATATGAACGTGAATGCATAATTCCAGAGTGTAAGATCTGTAACTAACATTCCATATTATATCTATGAAAATTATAATGACTCCCTCTTCTCAAAATGAAATGTGGAATTCAACATTCATGTTCATACATTTTTCAGCATTTCTCACAATTAATTTTCTTTTATGTACTCATGTAATAATATTTAAGATTTGTTGTGCATAGGTTTGAGACCAAACATTTCTGAACCATTAAGCTTTCCATAATGAAAACCAACATTGCAATATTAAATTTTCTCCGATTCCTGAGTTTTAGAGGCTTAGGCACAACTAGAGTTAATTCAACAAAGCTAGTCTTATTGAGTGATTCTAATTATCCGTCCAAAATGTGATTGTAGTTAGCTGCACAAACTTTATTTTTTATATGAAATTATTTTATATGTGTATGTTTTCTATCTGTGAACCAAAAATATTATAACTATATATGGTGTGAAGTTATTCACCTGCCGGTAAAATTAGCACGTTCATTTAATATTGTACTTTTATATGATTAATAAATGCTTCTATAGGAGACTTCTTGCATTTAATATGGAACAACCAAAGTATTTCTGATTTTTTTTTTCAGTTCTAACTTTCACTTTTAAAGATTAGATACAATGGTTAATGGTTAAGACATCAAAGGTCATACAGCACTATGGTAAAGTATTGTGGCAAAAAGGGTAAAAATGAGTTAGTGATAAGGATAAAATCTGTTAGATGTCAAAGGTTGTTGAGTGCTATAGGAATGCATGGTAGTGAAAAGAGAGGGGAGCAAATTGAGTAAGGTGGGGATTAGTAAAAGAGGAAGGGATTAAGTGCGTAAGGTGATTGGATGAAATGGAGAGTTTCCGAGTCTAAGGATGGAAGAGGAACCGTGTCTAAGGAAAGCTGTAAAAGAGCCATTATGAAACATTCAATAGGTTATAAGGGTAGAGATGGGTGTTGGAGAAGTAGGAGGAGAAGAATCCAGGCATGAGATAAGGGAACACAGGAAGGTGGTGAAGTATTGGGAAGAATGTTAGGAGGGGAAAGCGATCTGGAGAAGGACATTGTTATGATATCAGGGAATCACATGAGTATCCAGGTGGGAGCAGGAAGGATAATGGAGAAAGAAGCGGGAAGGATGGGGTGTGTTGGGAGAGAGTGGGAGGAAGAAAGGTAAGGGGAACTTGAGGAGGAGGAGGAATATATCAATAATTACATTAAATGTAGAGGGAATAGGAATAGAGGGATTGAGGGGGGATGAAAGAGTAGAGCATTCTCTTCTTCAAGGCTTTCTGGAGGGGAGTTAGGTGGGGAGACCTGAGAAATTGAGGTGTTCTTGTGAGGAGAAGAAGGGACAGATGCCTTGAAAACAGAGGAAGAGGTGAGTTTAAGAGAGGATGTGGAACATCTAGATTGCCTAGTGAAATGGGCAAAGTGAGAAGGAAGATGAGTAGGCATCGTGGAAGTGGCAGAGACTGGAGTATCTGGATTTAGAATGGAAAAGAAATTTGACTGTGGGAGAGAGGGCGTAGAGTAAGATGGTAAGGGGTAGAGGGAAAAGATACTGGGGGAAATGCTGAGATACCTAGAGAAGATAGGAGGGGAATGGAGTGATGGACAGTATTGGAATATATATATAAAAAAAAAAACCTTTCAGCATGCTTTTCATCTGGCTCCAGGACAGCTCCTATAAAATACATTATGGGAGCCACCCCAACTGGCATATGTTCATGACTGAGCAGAACAATTTGAACGGTCATGACCAGGTTGGGCACAGAGAGGGCAGTGGGCTGTGGAGCGACAATGTTTGACTGAGTGGCCAAAATGCCAATATTTATGACATTGATGGGGAAGAAGTCAATATGGTTGGACAGGGCAGGAAACTCTGCCAATACAAACTTCATAGGGAAGGTCATATCTATGGAAGCTAATCTTGGCAATATTGGTGTAGGACTTTGGCCTCTGGGAGCAATAGGGTAGCACTGTACTGCTACTGCATCAGTCAATGAGGCAGGCAAGCAGGTTGTTTTCACATTCTGATCAGTTCTTGTTGTAGACAGGGCAGTCAGTTAGCGAGATGGAAACAGTTCTAAGTATTAAGGGAGGAATGAGGTTGGGCAGGAATAGGTTTGCCAGTGAGGTCAGTCAGGGTTGATTGTGCACGAGCATGTGACTCAGATGTAATTGTGACAAGGTGTGAATGATTGGAATGACTGTGAAAGGAAACTTTGCCTACTTGTTTTTGGAGAGATTGTTAGAAGAGAAGGGTAGTGTCAGAGTAAGGTGCTGTAGGGGGACTCAAAGAATTGATCTCACTTGGCTGAGAAAAAAAAAAGAGTACTTGAAGGGTTTGCAGAGATGGAAGCACTAGAAGAATGAGGGCAGAAGGAAGATGAGGTTGTGTTTAGTGAGGCAGTACTGTGGTTAGGAGAACAATAAGGATGAGCGGTAATGAGGGAGGAGAAGGAGGAGGTAGACAATGAAGTACTGTCCAGTAGGAGGCATAGTGGAGGAAGTAGGGAGAGAGGAAGGGGTGTATTTTGAAGGTCAAGTACTGACCCGGGTGAACAATTTGGAATGGATAGAGATGGCAGGAGGGGGTACTGGTATCAGTAGTCAGAGTTGTGATCAAAGGAGAGGCAGGGGTTGGGAAGCCAGAGAAGTCAAATTTAAATAGGCTTGTAGCTGCATGATGGATTACTGGCATATACCAAACCATGAAAATAAATTCATGTGACATTTAGGCCCTTTTGCAAGCTGGAATACTGATTACTCTTTCAGACACAAGCCAGACCAGAAAGGTTTAAAATCTTGGGGAAGTGGCTTGTATGCTGTTGCAAGTGCACAAGCATTCACCAGCTTACTGACAAGGTTTTGAGCAGCTTGACCACTAAGTTAGGAATGCTTGGATATACTTAAATGTTTCATTAACAGAATTTCAAAATCAATTAAAGTTACTGTCTTTTGTGTAACTTTATGAATCATCTCATTTAATCATTTCTTGTTTTATGTTTGACTTAGTTTTCTCCTTTAATCAGTTATATATTAGACTTGTTGCTAAACTTTTCTTTCTTCTCTTGAAATGTCTAAAATTGAATGAAATTGTCCATACAGCTGCACTCTATAACTGTCATTCAGGCTCTATGCAATGTTAAACTTTTCTGAATTTTCAGCTTCATGTAAAGATTAGCTAATCAGAAATTACAGTTCGACAATTTGTTTTTAACAAATCTCGTTCAAAAGACCAACAAGTACACCTTCTGGATCCACATAAATTGCTTTTTCAAGGTTCTATAATGAAAAAACTGATTTGTCATGAGAACTTTTTATTACCCAGCAATCTCACTGCAATTCCTTCTTACCAGCTCTAGGCACATTAAACACTCAAATTCTAACAAGGTTATAATCTTCTGGTTACTTCATTACTCCCTTCAAAGCTCTATTAATTCATAAACAAGACAAACATTTATACAAACTTTAATTTCATACATCTAAAACAATACAACATGTAATTTAAATGCTTAAAATAATAACATGCATGTTATTTCAAACTGTGATTTATCTAAAATAAAACTACCATTGTGACAGGTGACTTGAGGTGAGTTTCTTTTTTTTAAATATTAAGGAAATGATGACAGAAAATAAATCTTTTAAATTATCACATGTTGTACACATTAGCAATAAACAACTTAATGCTACAAATGCCATACAACAAAGAGAAAGACAGGAATGCAAGCCGGAGCTGCATGGTTGCCTATAACAAGGGAACCGGACATTGCAGTCAAAGGGATGGTCAAGTAACTCAATACCGATATCATTCTCAGAAAAAAAAAAAAAAAAAAATGAATTGGTCACAATGCTTGCTCTAGTTTTAGTAATACTTCTGACATATCAAAAACGTGTAAGGCAAAGCAAGAGACAAACAAATTAATACGAGACGCTTCTTCGTAACTGAAAAAACTCTTTGCCCACAATCCTCTATGCCATTCACTACATATCAACATCCTAACTTGACTACTTGGCAAGGGATTAGGATATTGAGACTACAGGAAACATCCCTTCCATTCTTTTCATCTTTTTGTAACAACTGGGCTGGGTTTTCTGATCCCTGCCTGCCCATATTCATCTTTCTTCAACAGCTCCTAATAGGCAAACCTCATGTTAGGTGAGTATCCAAGTTTGTCCAGATTTGGGACACAGGCAAAGTTGATCATAGGTGGAGGCCCACACATGAGCACCAGGGTGTCGTCACTTGGTGGGAACAAGTGCTCTGAAATCATATCAGCACTGACAAAGCCACTGCTATACTTCCAGCCTGGGAATGAAAAAGTGAAAGGAGATTAAAGTATGTGGAATGAAGAATGAAATTTGGTCTGTTTTAAAAAATTATGATTGTGGTAAAAGATGGAAAAAAAGGAATTACTTACTTATTCTCAAAAATACTTTAAGTTAAAATAGCTTCAAAGCAATCCATGCCATCAAATTCAGCAAGCCCCACAATAATGCCACCCGGAATTAAAGAGTTCACCGGGAAGAATCTCCTCACCTGCTTCTGGACGGTCAACAGTGTACCACAACTTAAATTTTTCTGGGTGTTGGGCCTGGACCTCCTCTAGCTCCTGACGCAACAATATATCTGCTTCTGTCTGGTTTGCAAAAATCAAGGCCAACTGTGTCTTGTCTCCCTCATCTCTTGCCACCTGACGCACCAGCTGCAGCATGGGAGTGATGCCGGTTCCACCTGTTGCATCACAAATAAGTGAGAAAGTAGTTATGCAAATCATCCTGTGGATTCTCATTTGGGGGAAAGAAAGACGGGAAGAAAATGATTGATTATACTTCATTATTTTGATATCTATTTATCATGTACTGCACCTTGCGTGACACACAAACACCCACACACATACACGTGTGCGTGCACAGATACAAGGTGAGGATGGTGAGGAAGAGGAGGAAGTTATATATATATATATATATATATATATATATATATATATATATATATATATATATATATATATATATATATATATATATATATATATATATATATATATATATATATATATATATATATATATATATATATATATATATATATATATATATATATATATATATATATATATATATATATATATATATATATATATATATATATATATATATATATATATATATATATATATATATATATATATATATATATATATATATATATATATATATATATATATATATATATATATATATATATATATATATATATATATATATATATATATATATATATATATATATATATATATATATATATATATATATATATATATATATATATATATATATATATATATATATATATATATATATATATATATATATATATATATATATATATATATATATATATATATATATATATATATATATATATATATATATATATATATATATATATATATATATATATATATATATATATATATATATATATATATATATATATATATATATATATATATATATATATATATATATATATATATATATATATATATATATATATATATATATATATATATATATATATATATATATATATATATATATATATATATATATATATATATATATATATATATATATATATATATATATATATATATATATATATATATATATATATATATATATATATATATATATATATATATATATATATATATATATATATATATATATATATATATATATATATATATATATATATATATATATATATATATATATATATATATATATATATATATATATATATATATATATATATATATATATATATATATATATATATATATATATATATATATATATATATATATATATATATATATATATATATATATATATATATATATATATATATATATATATATATATATATATATATATATATATATATATATATATATATATATATATATATATATATATATATATATATATATATATATATATATATATATATATATATATATATATATATATATATATATATATATATATATATATATATATATATATATATATATATATATATATATATATATATATATATATATATATATATATATATATATATATATATATATATATATATATATATATATATATATATATATATATATATATATATATATATATATATATATATATATATATATATATATATATATATATATATATATATATATATATATATATATATATATATATATATATATATATATATATATATATATATATATATATATATATATATATATATATATATATATATATATATATATATATATATATATATATATATATATATATATATATATATATATATATATATATATATATATATATATATATATATATATATATATATATATATATATATATATATATATATATATATATATATATATATATATATATATATATATATATATATATATATATATATATATATATATATATATATATATATATATATATATATATATATATATATATATATATATATATATATATATATATATATATATATATATATATATATATATATATATATATATATATATATATATATATATATATATATATATATATATATATATATATATATATATATATATATATATATATATATATATATATATATATATATATATATATATATATATATATATATATATATATATATATATATATATATATATATATATATATATATATATATATATATATATATATATATATATATATATATATATATATATATATATATATATATATATATATATATATATATATATATATATATATATATATATATATATATATATATATATATATATATATATATATATATATATATATATATATATATATATATATATATATATATATATATATATATATATATATATATATATATATATATATATATATATATATATATATATATATATATATATATATATATATATATATATATATATATATATATATATATATATATATATATATATATATATATATATATATATATATATATATATATATATATATATATATATATATATATATATATATATATATATATATATATATATATATATATATATATATATATATAAAATTGAAGAAGAAAAAAAAGGAGAAGAAGAACAAAAAGCCCATGACCACCAACTAGCAAATTCTTACCGGCAATCATGTTGACCTTCTTGGCGGTGGTGAGGTTTGGCGGAGACTTCTTGTCTGGCTTGATGGCGAAGACCCCTCGGCCACGGTACTCAAGCAACCCCGATGGGCCTCGCACGTCAATGGTTTCTCCGATCTTCATCCCTTCGAGGTACTGGCTCAACTTCCCGCCGTCCGGGAACTTGGGGTGCACATTCTTGAAGTAGACCTGGGAGAGGGAGATTTGAATGAATGGTGTGGGAGGGAGAGGGGAGAGGGAAGGAGGGAGGGAGAGAGAGAGAGAAGGAGGGAGGGAGAGAGAGAGAGAAGGAGGGAGGGAGAGAGAGAGAGAAGAGAGAGAAAGAGATAGAGCGAGAAAGGAAAAAGGAAGAGAGAGAGGAAGGGACAAGAAGGAATGAAGGGACAGAGATAATCTCACTAAAATCCCTATTGCATAAAAAGCAGAGATTGGCTCCAATCTAAAGCCTCATTTAAAAATAAGTGTTTGATAAGATAATTTACCATGGGAAACATGAATCAAATTGTATTCCATCTCATAAGAATTAGATCTTCATATTCAAAGATTTAGACTAGCATCACTTCTAAACTGAATGAGACATAGTGAGAAAAAGAGAAAATATTTTATCTAATCTAACCATCTCATATATATATAATGTGTATCAAACTATACTAGCTACTTTTTAATAATAAAATGTAAACATGCTAGGGAAAAGGATTTTCTTGTTCTAAAGACAACCAAATTTTAAAATATGAAAAAAAAAAACCTTACATTGATAACAATGGTAACAAGAAACAATACAAAGAGAAATAAAGACGACCAGGAAACAACACGAAGGACGGGGGCGTGTGCTTGTATTAGGAATGTTAAACAGAGATGAGACTGCTTCCATCAACAACTAAAAATGACACATCTATTTGTTGCAAAGGCATCAGTACTAATATATGTATGTATGTATGTATGTATATACATACATTATATATATATATATATTTATATATATTTATATATATATATAGATATATATATATATATATAGATATATATATATATATATATATATATATATATATAATATATATATATATAGATATATATATATATATATATATAGATATATATATATATATATATATATATATATATATATATAATATATATATATATAATATATATATATATAGATATATATATATATATATATATATATATATATGCATATATGAAAAGAAATAAACCCTGAGAAGATGGACACATGAAACCACTATATCTACAACAGGTGTGCATGCTGTTTCATAGAATCCTTACCCAATTTGTGAATTACATTAGATCTATCAGAAGTTCTGTTAGAAAAAAAATCTACAAATTACAAAAGCTTCACCTACCATAATATGCTCTGACAAGGCTCAAGTTTGAAAGCAGAAGAGGAATGACATTTTCCATAAGCTAAATTTCAAAACGAAAGTCATTGGAATTTGGATCAGCTCTTAAGAGTCATCACAGTAATTCACAACATTAACTAAAGCTAAGTCAAACGGTATTTCTGCTCATGAGATTTAAGAGAAATATGGCATGCAACGTGTACCTATTAATACCTTTTCTTCAGAGAGAGGGAGAATGTGGAATAAAGTGGAGAGGTGGGAGACAGAGCAGGAAAAGGAGAGGGCAGAGGCTGAGGATGGAGAGAAGTAACAGAGTAAAGAAAATGAAGGACAAGGAGAAGGAGAAGGAGGAGGAGGAAGAGGAGGAGGAGGAGGAGGATAAAATTGAAGAAGAAAAAAAAGGAGAAGAACAAAAAGCCCATGACCACCAACTAGCAAATTCTTACCGGCAATCATGTTGACCTTCTTGGCGGTGGTGAGGTTTGGTGGAGACTTCTTGTCTGGCTTGATGGCGAAGACCCCTCGGCCACGGTACTCAAGCAACCCCGATGGGCCTCGCACGTCAATGGTTTCTCCGATCTTCATCCCTTCAAGGTACTGGCTCAACTTCCCGCCGTCCGGGAACTTGGGGTGCACATTCTTGAAGTAGACCTGGGAGAGGGAGATTTGAATGAATGGTGTGGGAGGGAGAGGGGAGAGGGAAGGAGGGAGAGGGGAGAGGGAAGGAGGGAGGGAGAGAGAGAGAGAAGAGAGAGAAAGAGATAGAGCGAGAAAGGAAAAAGGAAGAGAGAGAGGAAGGGACAAGAAGGAATGAAGGGACAGAGATAATCTCACTAAAATCCCTATTGCATAAAAAGCAGAGATTGGCTCCAATCTAAAGCCTCATTTAAAAATAAGTGTTTGATAAGATAGTTTACCATGGGAAACATGAATCAAATTGCATTCCATCTCATAAGAATTAGATCTTCATATTCAAAGATTTAGACTAGCATCACTTCTAAACTGAATGAGACATAGTGAGAAAAAGAGAAAATATTTTATCTAATCTAACCATCTCATATATATATAATGTGTATCAAACTATACTAGCTACTTTTTAATAATAAATGTAAACATGCTAGGGAAAAGGATTTTCTTGTTCTAAAGACAACCAATTTTAAAATATGAAAAAAAAAAACCGTACATTGATAACAATGGTAACAAGAAACAATACAAAGAGAAATAAAGACGACCAGGAAACAACACGAAGGACGGGGGCGTGTGCTTGTATTAGGAATGTTAAACAGAGATGAGACTGCTTCCATCAACAACTAAAAATGACACATCTATTTGTTGCAAAGGCATCAGTACTAATATATGTATGTATGTATATATGTATGTATATACATACATTATATATATATATATATATATATCTATTATATATATATATATATATATATATATAATATATATGTATATATATATATGAATATGAATATGAATATGAATATGAATATGAATATGAATATGAATATGAATATGAATATGAATATGAATATGAATATGAATATGAATATGAATATGAATATGAATATGAATATGAATATGAATATGAATATGAATATGAATATGAATATGAATATGAATATGAATATGAATATGAATATGAATATGAATATGAATATGAATATGAATATGAATATGAATATGAATATGAATATGAATATGAATATGAATATGAATATGAATATGAATATGAATATGAATATGAATATGAATATGAATATGAATATGAATATGAATATGAATATGAATATGAATATGAATATGAATATGAATATGAATATGAATATGAATATGAATATGAATATGAATATGAATATGAATATGAATATGAATATGAATATGAATATGAATATGAATATGAATATGAATATGAATATGAATATGAATATGAATATGAATATGAATATGAATATGAATATGAATATGAATATGAATATGAATATGAATATGAATATGAATATGAATATGAATATGAATATGAATATGAATATGAATATGAATATGAATATGAATATAAAATATAAATATATAAATATATATATATATAGATATATATATATATATATATATATATATATATATGCATCTATGAAAAGAAATAAACCCTGAGAAGATGGACACATGAAACCACTATAGCTACAACAGGTGTGCATGCTGTTTCATAGAATCCTTACCCAATTTGTGAATTACATTAGATCTATCAGAAGTTCTGTTAGAAAAAAAATCTACAAATTACAAAAGCTTCACCTACCATAATATGCTCTGACAAGGCTCAAGTTTGAAAGCAGAAGAGGAATGACATTTTCCATAAGCTAAATTTCAAAACGAAAGTCATTGGAATTTGGATCAGCTCTTAAGAGTCATCACAGTAATTCACAACATTAACTAAAGCTAAGTCAAACGGTATTTCTGCTCATGAGATTTAAGAGAAATATGGCATGCAACGTGTACCTATTAATACCTTTTCTTCAGAGAGAGGGAGAATGTGGAATAAAGTGGAGAGGTGGGAGACAGAGCAGGAAAAGGAGAGGGCAGAGGCTGAGGATGGAGAGAAGTAACAGAGTAAAGAAAATGAAGGACAAGGAGAAGGAGAAGGAGGAGGAGGAAGAGGAGGAGGAAGAGGAGAATAAGGAAGATAGAATAATGTATTAGAGATGAGAAAGAAACAGAAGGCATGTGGAAACAGAAGACCTTGACATGATCAAAAAGACCTTTGTCCTAGATGTTTAGAGTATAAAGTGAGAAGGAGAGAAAGAAATCAGACAGGTAAATATAGAGAAACAGACAGGGAAAAAGGGATGAATATAAAACTACAGATAAAACAACAAAACATCTGAAAACAACCTTGACAACAAGATCAATGTAGCCCTTGTCCTCATCACTGGAAACAGGGGTGTATGGCCGCACAACCAACTGCCCGTCAACTCTAGCTGAGAGGTAGATGTGCTGACCAATGGGAAGACCTGAAATATATACTCAGTGATAATTCTCTTCTTTCTCATTCTCATGAGTGGCACTGAGACCCGAAAACTCTTTAGATGGATATACAAATAACTGATAAATTCAATAATTCACTTCTACATCTAAAAATCATTATCTAATACTTTACCAAGAATATGGTCTGGGGTCGGGAGCTTAAATCTAAATCGTCTCGTGTCGTGGGATATTTCCTCCCGCTCAATCAGCTCCAGGGGGTACTTGACTGTGGGATCTTGGAGGGTGCGAGGGGGACCGCGTTTCTTCGACAAGTACAACTTGGTCAGAATGGCTGTTCCGACCACAACGCCAAGACCCACCAGAAGGGGGATAGCCTGTAAAATTATTAGGCGTATTGTTATAGCCACAAGGGGGATTTCATTCACGTTCACATCACTGTTGCAAAGGCTTTTTTGATGGGTTCTGTAAAATATACTATCAACAATAGCTTACATGACTTTAACCCTCTGAAGACAAGATTAAGCCAGTTTTAGTGCACTTATACAGCTGAGCAATTGATAACTCGGGCTTACTGTCATGACATATACTTTGGGATGTCACTGTATCCAAGGAGTTAAATAAAAGGTGTTTTATAGGCATTATCAATGAATATATAATAATTCCTAAGATTCAATTGAATGTGAACGGTTTTGAAACATTACATGTATACACCTGCATAAAAGGCATCAAAATTAGAAATATATATAAATATATATATATATATATATATATATATATATATATATATATATATATATATGAATATGAATATGAATATGAATATGAATATGAATATGAATATGAATATGAATATGAATATGAATATAAATATAAATATAAATATAAATATAAATATAAATATATATATATATATATATATATATATATATATATATATATATAAATTAATAATCAGTAAGATTATAAATATGTACAATTTTTTCATCTTTTATAAATGCAACAAACTTAAAATAAATAAACCTCTAAAGACAAGTAAATTATGTAATTAGAATATACATTATGAATTTGCAAAATAGGCACTAAAGCAAAATAACATGAGCAACTGCAGTTGTTACAAATACACTCTCTCATATGTTATATGTAAGATACATAAGTACGCACATGCACACACACACACAGTATTGTATATGTAGGTATGCATTACCTAAAAATAACCAAAATTACCAATAATCAAAAATGAGATTTAAAAAAGGAAGAAAAAATTCATACACAATGTGAGTAAATAACCAGTGACATTACTTAGGACCAAACCATACTCTTACGATGTGAGAGCACAAAGATGTGAGAGGGAGCATGCTTTATCCTTGACGTAGTGTTTAAAATACACAAGAAAAAGTGAATAACAAACACGAGTGATAAGTGCTAGAAAAATGGAAAGAAGATTCTCAAGAGCATCAACAATCAAAAACTCTTACAACTATTAGTCATGTTATTTCTGTCATATGTATTATACTACTGTATTTCAGGCCATGTTAAATCATAGTATTTCACCAAAATCTAAATCTACCATTAAAATTGAATATAACTTTTGAAAAATCTTTTTCTGTGTTCAGTCAACTAAGATCTCCTATGCCCTTTCCCCTTCCTTTTATAGTTAAATTCTAAACGAAGATTCAAAACCAACATTGAACGAAATGCAATTTCTTCTCTTAAAAAGCACATTTCTTCCCTTAAGAGAAGTATGAACTTTCCTTCTCCCTAAAATTTGTAATCTCTTCTCCCTTAAAAAGCAAAATGCCTCCTTTAAAGTGCATCTTGACTTCAATATCAAAGCATAACTACTAAGCAATAATTTTCCCTATCTTATCTGCACTCAGATACAGAAAAATTATCACTTTCATTTTTACCGTCTGATTACTAATACTCTCTTTTCTTTTCCTACAACACTGTTCTATATGACAATTAACATTGAAGGATATCATGCCATGTATCCTGCAAAGAAAAATAAGAAAAATAAGAAAAAGAAGAAGAAATGAAGGGGTTTACAGCTAGGTGGTACGGCAGGTGAAAGAGCACCATTCATGGGCTCCTTATCAATTTGGTAATAAAGCATGAGAGAGGGAGAAATATATAAATAAAATAGATTAGAAGATTATCAGATTTTAAACTTACATAAAATTCTAGAAATGGGGAGGAATAGGTTTATACAAACAAAAATAAAAGAGAATACGAGAGAAAAAAAGAAAAAAAAGAAAAAGAAACCAAAATAGTTTTTTAAAAAATCAAATCAAATTAATCATGAAGCCAAAATCTAATCTTGAATGCATGGATTGTGTGTAAATCAAGATGTCACTATATCTCTGGTCATATGATGAGTGACGGAGCCTCAAGGACGTGAGATAAGGCCTTCGCTGCCCAACGCATTTGCTCTTTTTGTTGTTATTGTGGTTATGATAACTACTGTTGTTAGCATTGCTTGTTATTATCCATATATCATCATTATCAGTATAAATTCTTGTGAATATTATAAGCCTGATCATTATAAATGTCTTAAATCCTTTCATACCATTATCATCTCTACAAGAATTTACGACCTGACAATATTTCCTTTCAAAGAGATCTTTCTATATTGTACTTTCTAATAATATTTTCTCTCTAACGACTATCCTCATATCAGGATAGGCATCACAGTCCACAGAGGACATCAACAGATTTCTTCTTTGTGCCATATTATCATTATCAATATTATCATTTTATCAACCTTATCATCACTGCTACTGAAATTTTCTCCTTTTTCTGACTTAAAATTAAAATAAAACAAAAAATGATAAAACTATATAAGTGATGTTAAAGGGAGAGAAAGAAAACTCGTCACAACTCAAGAAAGCCATTTCCAGATACCATAAAACAAAACTACTATAATAAAACTACACCCCGGGAAAAAAATATATAAAGAAAAAAGAGAGACCACTACCAATGCCCATTTTCAAAACACAAACACATCATTAGTCATTAGTCCAAGGAAAATCGAAATATACTGTGGAAAAAAAAAAACAAAAAAACAACTATATATCAAAACAAATAAAATCATAACTACTTACACTACATCATTAAGGCTCACAAAAAAAAGAAAGAAAAAAAAAAAAAAAATCACTAATCACATCACACACATTATGTGATCTCATACCTTTATGTGATCCATTATGATGTTCTTATGATAAAAGCTGTTTTGCCAATTCAATTACGCCGCGACCTAAAACGTTTGAGAGATTTGTATTAAAGGTGTAATGATGCCTAAGGAGTAGCTGGCAGTGTAATGTCTGTCTTGCACATTTATCACCATTCATGATCCTAAAAACTGTGTAGAATACAAACAAAAACATAGGGTCATCATTCTGAATGGGACCTTCTTGAGGTACAGTACGATTATTGCAAAGATCATAGAGTATAGAAAACCACACAATCAAACTAAAAAAATAATAATGAAAATAAAAATAAATAAATAAATTTAATTTAATTTAAGAATACTAATAATCAGCTGAGAGTAAAGATAAGCCTATAAGTAGTAACCAAAGTCTGCCATGGCTTTTGCATTCCAGCTATGGTCAATAAACCTACACAGCACATGTTCTGGCAAGAGAGAGTTTACAGACTTTACTGCCAATCTATTGTTAAATATGGAACTATTCCAAGCTCAATCTTGCCAGTTCATTTATGGTTGGCCTTTGCCAGGCTGCAACATGCAAAGGCAATAGTTCTGCTTGAAATGGTCCTATTCTGAAGACTGGAATCAACCAGTTATGGTAAAGATAATAGGCTTACTATAATAGTCTCACTTTAAAGTTTCTTAACAATAAATCTGCAGTAATGATGTTCTCACATCATATTCTGCAACTATATAACTGAGTATAAGTTTTTGTATATTGAAAATAAAATGAAAAATCTAAATATAATAGAATAGATAAGATAGTAGACAATAAGGAAATAAATAAATAATTAATCTGTAAAAAATAAGCTGATATGTGATGGCAACTGTCAGCTGTGATGATGGTCTGGATTACCATAATAATTGTAATCAAAATACTACGTAAATAAACAAACAAACAGTAATGTCTATTGAAATAAACTATATATAGGCCTATACTATATACTATTTGAATATATACAGCTGGTGATAATTACAAACAAAATAATCAGTAATGTCTATTGAAATAAACTATATATAGGCCTATACTATATACTATTTGAATATATACAGCTGGTGATAATTACAAACAAAAAATAAATAAATACAAAGCGTAAAAAAAAAATATCAAGTGTAAAACTTAAAAAAAAAAAAAGTATAATATTTTGAGTAGATGGACAAATTCTCAAACTACCATCTAACATTACTGAAAGAAAAAAACAGAATACATAAATAATGTACATACTAACAACTATACAAATATACTCTGCATACATCATATACTATGGTAAATAAACACAGGCAAGCTCTGAAACTAATTACTAACATCAACAAGAGAAAGGGACTTCAAAAAGAAAAAATTACAAACAGTTTATAAAATCCTTGACTTGCGCCTTGACATACAGGCCAGTCGCATGACAAGGAGACTGAACACTGCAACCCCTGATGACAGCCATATGTTTTTGCTTGTTACTCAAAGTGAATAGTGTCTTGAAAAAGGTTTGAATAAAAATGAGATTTTCAACAAGGCAAAAAGTGTATAATTGGTGAAAGAATTGTTCTAACAGACAATATGTTTCTGAATGAACTTTCCTGTAGAAAAATATTTAAATTAAACCTCTTTCCTTGTGAAATCATTCCTTTTCATCCCAAAATCCTCTCATCATTTGTCATGATAATTTTCATTCAAATCCCACTCCTCTTTCCTTCAATTATTTCACCACAAGTGCTTTCAAGTAAGAGATAATGCAAGCTCTGCTTTTGCAAATGTGTAATCTTTTATCTTGACTAACATTTCCAACTTTCCAACATCCCGTTAGCAGAAAAGTTTAATCTTGCTTCTTAGTATACAGGTATCTGTATTGTTTATAAATGAAACTGATATTTATTGCATTTTAAATTGAATTTCAAGCAAACATTCTTCAAGAAAAAGTCCAAGTAATACAGTTAAACACAACCCAGTACAATGCTTAATTAAATGTCAAATCTTAGAAAGTGTAAATCAGTGCTTAATATTTTTCCAATCTTTTTTTCAATGTGTTAACCCACCAATGGTGGGAAACCCAAAGCATGGACCATTTCATGCGAGATGCTATTGTTCTTGTCCGTCTGCCGGGGTGTCTCACATGTGAAATGTATTGTATGGACCTCAGTAACATCTGTTGTGTCTACATGGATATCTTCCAAGATCAATTCTTGTTGTACACATAACTGCACATGTAACCACAAATTACATCATGAAGTCACATTAAGAAGTGAAGTTATTATTACATCCATTTATCCGGTTCTGATGTCATATAAGGAGGGAGTGAGTAGGGAATTATAAGGGGAGGGAGAGTGAAAGACAGATAGAAAAAAATTGAAAATGAAAATAAAAGCAGAGACTAAGGAGGGAGGATGATAGACAGACAGATAGATAGATAGAGATGCAGGCAGGTAGGTAAAGACTGATAGATAGAGTGATAGGAGAGGCAGATAGATAGATAGTCAGGGAGATAGGTAGATGAAGTAACGTTATAAAGATTTACAAGTGATGAAGCTGAGGAAGTGACGTCTGGGTTTTGCAAAGATAGAAATTTACATAATTTAAGGTTGGGGAAAAAATATTTGTCACCATGTCACATGCATGATTTATTGAGATGCATCTCCTTTGCAACATTCTATGGGAGAATTTTAAATATGAATTCTGGAAACAGCAAGCTATCCACAAATAACTATTAGGTTATGCCTTTTGTACCTGATGAATGCAGTGTATAATATACTCTATTTTAAGAAGTCTTAATGGCAATTCACTACATAACTAAATTTGTGCACTGGACAATGAAAAAAAAAGAGGGTAATACTCATATTAACCTATTATGGATATAATGTGACCAATTCCGGGGAAGACCCACATAATAACAATAACCAGAAAAGACTGCACCACACTTTTCCTATTTCAATGATACTACTCATTTCTCATTTTTTTCACAGATATCCCAAAATTATCTTTTTTAAAGCCTCATCAAATCTTGCATCTTGCACAGTAAGACAAATGTAAACTATAATCTTACAGTTGCCACATCTATCTGTTGTGCTGTGTAACTGAATAATAACTGCAGCCACATTTCTCTTCACCGGCAAACACTACTTCTTTGATATGGAAAACAGAGAGGAACTAATTTGTTATAGGAATTATCAGGTAATATCTATATTATTTTACTCTTCATGATAAGATAAGAGAGAAAACAGGGATGCTTGCATGATTGCAAAGAGGAATATGCACAGTGGCAAAGTAATACATAAAGAGTGCTGATATCTGCAAAAACCTTCAAGCTAGCCACTTCTATTTACAAACTTAAATCATATATTTCTCTCTCTATTTTTTTCAAAATGGGTATAAGATTTGCGTTTATGTTTTGTTGTTGCTGTTGCCATTTTTACCCTGTAAATTCTCTACATCATGCACAGGTCAGCAGATCAGAGATATGGTCTTTTCTGGAATACTGACTGGCACAGAGATCACAACAATTGCTTATGTCACCAAGTGTGTACTGGCTTTGACAGATGTTCAAGGTCCTAAAAAGCTATGCTCATGCGGTGACGCTCAGAGATGTAATGGCTTCTCCTGTACTTCATGCTCCAGCAAAGGCAAACAACCTTTGACCATCTATATTCTAACAAAATTGAGCTTGTAGACCTTCCTACAGATCTATCACCAAATAAGGAACTTGTCCAATCTTTACCTTGCCAAATATATATATATGTGATGGAGTTTAGTTGGCCACTGAAAGAAGACTGAATGCCATGTGTCACTTGATGCAGTCCTGTTCTAGACAACTACTGATAATTCTTTACATGTCCCAAACTCCACATCACAAAAAATATTAAATAATTTAAGTTGCCATATTTGGGCGTACTGCCTTAAGGGAGAGGTAATGAGGGATCTAACCCCAGCAAACATTGTCTTCAACTCAGTATGCAAGATAGAGCTGAAAATTGGATATCTCCCTCACACACATGTATACCAGCTTTATTCTATCAACATTCACTAAAAACATGGTGTACTCTGTGAGGGCAAAGGTATACACTTTGAAATCCAATATTGCAGTGTTATGTGACTAGCATGGATTTTATACCGTGTGTTCCTGCAGAAGTCAACAAACTCCATCATATATATCTGGCAAGGTAAGAGTTTTGCCTGCTTTCATATTCCACAGTAAATTACCAGGAAGGTTAGCTGCATACACATGACAAAGTTATGACAAGCATGGAGATTAATTGGTGCAGTGCCAGAGGTATACAAGAGCTTCTTTCAAGGATATACCTCTTTCATCACCTGAGCGCACCCTAAGCCTTCATTTCTGTTGGATAATTAAAATAATGCA